ATGCTATTTTGAGTTGTGTGTGTGTGTGTGTGTGTGTGTGTGTGTGTGTGTGTGTGTGTGTTAGTATGGGACTCGGGACTCGAACTTAAGCCTCCATGCTATTTTGAGTTTTTTGCTCCCAATTGGTGCTCTACTATTTGAGCCATACTTCTAGTCTCAGTATTTCCTTTTGTAACTTTTTTTTTTTTTGGGTCCAGTCCTGGGCCTGAATTCTGGGCCTGGGCGCTGTCCCTCAGCTCTTCAGCTCAAGGCTAGCACTTTACCACTTGAGCCACAGCGCCACTTCTGGCTTTTTTTTTTCTGCTTATGTGGTGCTGAGGAATCGAACTCAGGGCCTCATGTATGCAAGGCAAGCGCTCTACCACTGAGCCACCTTCCCAGCCCATCCTTTTGTAACTTTTGAACAAGGTATTGCATTCATGGACTGATTTTTTTTTAATTAAAAAAAAAGCTTGGGGCTGGGAAGGTGGCTCAGTGGTAGAATGCTTGCCTTGCATGCATGAGGCTCTGGGTTTGATTCCTCAGTACCACATAAGCAGAAAACGCCAGAAGTGGTACTGTGGCTCAAGTGGTAGAGTGCTATCCTTAAGAGCTGAGGGACAGTGCCCAAGCCCAGAATTCAGGTTCCACAACTAATAACAACAACAACAACAACAACAACAAAGCTTAAAAAAGTCAGGTGCCAGCTGGGTGCTGGTGGCTTACACCTGTAACCCTAGATACTCAGGAGGCTGAGATCTGAGAATCATGGTTCAAAGCCAGTGCAGGCAGGAAAGTTCCTGAAACTCTTATCTCCAATAAACCACTTGAGCTCTATGGCTCAAGTGGTAGAGCGCTAGCCTTGAGCCTTGAGCTGAGGGACAGTGCCCAGGCCCAGAGTACAAGCCCCAAGACCAAAAAAAAAAAAAAAAAAGGTCAGGTACCAGTAGCTCAAGGCTGGAATCCTAACTACTCAGGAGGCTGAGATTTGAGGATCGTGGTTCAAAGCCAGCCCAGACAGGAAAGTCCATGAGACTTTTTTTTTTTTGGTCCGGTCATGGGGCCTGAACTCTGGACCTGGGCGCTGTCCCTCAGCTCTTCAGCTCAAGGCTAGCGCTCTACCACTTGAGCCACAGCACCACTTCCGGCTTTTTTCTTTTTTCTTTTGTGGTACTGAGGAATCGAACCCAGGGCTTCATGCATGCAAGACAAGTGCTCTACCACTGAGCCACCTTCCCAGCCCCCATGAGACTCTTATCTCCAATTAGTCACCAGAAAACCGGAAGTGGCGGCTCAAGTGGTAGAGTGCTCGCCTTGAACTGAAGAGCTCAAGGTCAGCACCAGGCCCAGAGTTCAAGCCCCATAACCAACAGAAAAAACAAAAAGCTCCCACAAATATGTATATCTCTCATGCCACATGCACATACTCACAGAGCCCATGGTGATTTAGAAGATTAGATCAACATTTGCTTGAAGTATCCCTCTTGCTCTGCTCTTCATATATACTGTGGATGGACCTTCCTGATGTTACTTATTATTCTCTGACATTAACACTTGGCATTAATAAGGAAAGCAATCTTTGCTTCTTGTGTTCTGATGGAAAGTTTAACAAAATGTCTGTGAATTTATTTTATGATCCTCCAGTTAAGGGAACTATGTATAAATCAATGTCTTTATCCACCTAATTGTAGCAAGTGTTTTGGCCCTTTGAATTCTAATCACCCTAGTCTTCAAGGCAGCTAATTATGGAATTGTGTTTTGATCTTTTAAAAAAGAAAATTCCCATTAAGTAAGTGTTGATTGCATTTCAGATTCATTTTCCTTTGCTTGTCTAAATAGGGAGAGGCTGATAAGAGTCTGAAGGCTAGTGCTTCATTTTCCTGTTTATAAATATTCTGGTTGCTTTTGCAGGCCCTTTTTGGATATGTGCCACGTTGGTCTTTGCCATAGCAATTAGTGGGAATCTTTCCAACTTCTTAATCCATCTGGGAGAGAAGACATACCATTACGTGCCTGAGTTCCAAAAAGGTTGGTGAATAGCTTGACTCATTGTAAATGCTGTCAGTTTCTAACCAGGAAGCCTTTTGCTCCTTGAGCTGTGGGCCTAGTCTGTAGGTGCCGTAGCCCTGCTTCCTGTGTTTTAGAGTTCAGACATACCGTTGACTGAATATACAAATCCACATCATATTTTGTTTTCTAACTGTAGAAGACGTATATAATGTACATTTTAACAATTTCAGTGGTATAAGTACATTTGCAGTGTTGCTAACTCACAAAGTATTTAAGGAAGCTAGCCCAACAGCAACTGGAATTTATTCTAAAAATGTACCAAGTAACTGAAAAGTAGTGTTATGAAGGTCTTCATTATAGCATTGTTTGTATTATGAAAGCCTAGAAATAGTAGGGGCACTGTTCTTCAAGTTGTGGTGGCCCAACTAGCGGAGATGGTCTCTAGCCACTAATTATGAGGCACCTAGAGCAACTTGAGTACCAGAACTTAGGCAAACTGGTGCCTGTAATGTTGGCAGCTTTGTAAAGAGAAGTCTGTTCATGGTTAAGTAGAATGGACAATGAAAAACGGTAAATGATCTAGGGGTGGATTTAGAAATAATGTTCGTATCTAAAAATTTCTTTCTTGTATCAGTTAAGATAAAAAGAAAACAGCTTATAGAAACTTGAATATGAGAACCACTCCAAAGTGAGGAAGCTTGGCTTTGTAAGAGATTGACCATAGCACTTTCCCAAGTTCTCTTTCCCTACTTGCTTGCCTGCTTGGGTAAAAACATGGGCTGCAGGTTTCAACACTGTACTCACTAGCTTCTATAGAGGAGCCAGATTTGTGGCCTCAGGTTCTTCATAAGAGAAATGGAAATGATAATACTATATGGTAGAGCTACTATAAGAATAAAGAGCAAGCTGGGCACCAGTGGCTCATGCCTGTAATACGAGCTACACTGGAGGCTGAGATTTGAGGATCACAATTTGAAACCAGCCTGGGCAGGAAAGTCTGTGAGACTCTTATCTCCAGTTAACCAGAAGTAGAGCTGTGGCTCAAAGTGGTAGAGCACTAGCCTTGAGTGAAAAAACTCAGGGACAGTACCCAAGCCCTGAGTTCAAACCATGACTGAAAAAAAGAAAAAAAGAATAAAGAGCCAGGCTCATGCCTGTAATCCTAGCTACTCAGGAGGCTGAGATCTGAGGATCATGATTCAAGCCAGCCTGGATAGGAAAGTCTATGAGATTCTTTTTTTTTGGGAGGGGGTCCATTTGTGGGGCCTGAACTCTGGGCCTGGGTGCTGTCCCTCAGCTCTTCAGCTCAAGGCTAGCGCTCTACCACTTGAGCCATAGCACCACTTCCGGCTTTTTTCTTTTTGCTTATGTGGTGCTGAGGCTCTTTAGCTCAAGGCAAGTGCTCTACCACTGAGCCACCTTCCCAGCCTATCTATGAGATTCTTATCTCCAATTAGCCAGCAAAAAATCTGGAAGAAGGAGATGTGGTTCAAGTGGTAGAACACCAGCCTTGAGCCAAAAAGCTCAGGGACAGTGCCCTGGCCCAGAGTTTAAGATCCAGAATCAGCATACACATGCATACGCACGTGCGCGCACGTGTGCACGCGCACATGCACACACACACACACACACCATACAAAAGAATAAAGAGCTGAAGACTAGAGGTATGGTGCAAGTGGTAGAGCACCTGCATAGCAAGCTCCAAGCCCTGAGTTCTAATCCCAGGAATGTCACACAAAAAGAAAATAAATGAATATAAAATGGATATATGTAAGAGGTTAGACTAGTGATTTTTATACAATTCTTCCAATGTTTATTATTGCTATATATGTGTATACATACCTGTCTATAGGAACATATTTAAGTGTTTGAGAGAGTATACATGAGCCTACAGTGAATTGTTTCTTTTCCTCCTTTTTAGTGTGTGTGTGTGTGTGTGTGTGTTTAGTTCTGGTGGTTTATTGGACTTCCCTGCCCAGGCTGGCTTTGAACCGCGATCCTCAGATCTCAGCCTCCTGAGTAGCTAGATTATAGGCTCACGCCGTTGGCACCTGGCCCTTCTTTCTTCTTTACTAAAATGAAAATACAGATTTCATGAAACAATATATCAACATGTTAGTTAATAATAATAAAAAGCTAATTATTTTTTGTTGGTTCTGGGGCTTGAACTCAGGCAGGGCCTGGACTCTGTCCCTGAGCCTCTCTGTTTATGTGGTAGCAAGGAATCAAACCCAAAACTTCATGCATTCCACTTTACCACTAAGCCACATTCCCAATCCTAAAAAGCTAAATCTTAAGTATTTATTCTTTATCATCACCACTCTATTAGAATGGTTATTGCCTATTTTAACTTAGTTCTTCTAACAGTCTTTTTTGCATTCTGGTAATGGAACTCAAGACCTTATACATGCTAGGCAAATGCTCTAATAATCTTGTGAGGTAATTTTATTCCCATTTTGCAGATAGGTAAGTAGTAGGAAGATTAAGTAGCTCACTATCCAGAGATGGTTTGCCTGGGATTAGAACCCAGGGCATCTGTACAAAGTCTCTGCCATTTGAGACTACAATACCGTGACTGTCAGTAAAGCAGTGAGTATATTGCCTGATGCCCAGCAGTGATCAATGACTGTAGCTACAGCCAGAGTAGAATTTCCTTCTCCTTCCCTTCATTGTCTAAGAAAAAGGTATGATGTCAATGAAATTGTATCTGGCTTAAGGAGGGAGTGCCAAATGTTTTGGACACTGACAGTTTTAACAAGAGTCTGACTGTAACTGCCACGAGGCTTTGCCAAGATGTGTTAAATGAGTTCCCTACTAGTTTTCCCATAGGAGAAGCAGATGCCATGGCTTAGCCAAGTATAATTTATTTATTTCTTTATTTATTGTCATGAGTCTTGAACTCTGGGCCTGGGCACTGTCCCTGAGCTCTTCAGCTCAAGGCTATCGCTCTACCACTTGAGCCACAGCACCACTTCAAGTTTTCTGGTGGTTAATTGGATATAATTCCTACCCAGGCTGGCTTTGAACCGTGATCCTCAGATCTCAGCCTCCTGAGTAGCTAGGATTACAGGCATGAGCCACCAGCGCCTGGCTTTGTTTATTTATTTTTATATTTTATTTTGCAGTACAGGGAATCAAACTCAGGACTTTCTTTATGCGTAGGAGGCAATCACTGTACCACTGAGCTACATCCCAACTCTTTGCCAGGCTTTGTGATGGTCACTCCAGAATCAAGAAGACTTCAAATTGTTCTCTAGGGCAAGTTCTATAGGGCTTGATACTACAAGAGGAGGAGGTAAAAAGCAGGAAGAGAAGAAGAAAGAAGAGGAGGTAGAGAAGGAAGAGGAGGAGGAAGAGACGAAGGAAAAGGAGGAAGGCCTTACAGAGCAAGGGAAGGCTGGATTCTGAGGAGCTTTTAACAAGCAGTTCCATTACCAAGGCAGAGTTATTTATGTAAGGAAGAAAGTGAAACTGGAGAATATTTCAAGCAATCCATCAATGTGCTGAAACTCTGTATTTCAGAAGCAGAAAGATCTCTAAATGACACGCAGAGCAAGTTAATCTGTACCCAGGGCATTTTAATAAATTTGTTAAAGAAATCAGTGTCAGCTCTTGTTTTGCTAGGGAGGAGGATGTGTTCTTCCAAGGGGATAGTTGGCTTTTATTTGATTGAAATGTTCAGTATATTTAGATCTTACAGTATGATGTTCTCAAATATTTTAGTTATTCAATAATATTGTTACTAAATGAATATAAAAGTTCTAAAGGAAACTACAAGGACAGATGCTAAAGATTCATTCATTTGGCAAACATTTATAAAACACCTACCATGTTCCAAGGGCTGTGTCAGGCCCAAAGAATAGAGCCCAGGAAGACATGGGCCCACTATCCATTGAAGTAGATTGACTTGTAGGAAGTAAGGACAGTCTAAAGTATGGGAAGTGCTCTGACAGTGGCTTAAAGACATGATGCAGGTGACACTGTCTTGTTGTCCGCAGTATCCATAGCAGCTACCATCATCTATGCCTATGCCTGGCTTGTTCCTCTGGCTCTCTGGGGTTTCCTCATGTGGAGAAACAGCAAAGTCATGAACATTGTTTCCTATTCATTTCTGGAGATTGTGTGCGTCTATGGCTATTCACTCTTCATTTATATCCCTACAGCAGTAAGTATGGCACTGTGGAGCAGACTCTGAGTGATGCTCTGGTCTTGGTTAACACTTCAGCCAGGAATTCCACCAGACATTGTTATTTCCAGTTTAACATTCATCTGCTCCCCTTTGAGTTTCAAGGGCAGCATGAAGAAGAGTGGGGGGCGGGAGTGAACCCTTAGGATAACATTGCCTCAGTCTGCATGGTGGTGGGTATTCCGAAAACCAGCTGGCATCAGCCCAGCTGATTGGCTTACATGCCTGGAATGAACAAATGCATCCAAAGACTGTATCCTTTCCTTCTCTTCTTTCAGATACTGTGGATCATCCCCCAGAAAGCTGTTCGTTGGATTCTAGTCATGGTTGCCCTGGGCATCTCAGGATCTGTCTTGGCTATGACATTTTGGCCAGCTGTTCGTGAAGATAACCGACGTATTGCGTTGGCCACAATTGTGACAATTGTATTGCTTCATATGCTTCTTTCTGTGGGCTGCTTGGTATGGTTTCATTCCTATATACTTTTGGTGTGTTTTAACACTATAAAGTGTTAGGTATAATGGTTCCTTTAAAACTGACTTCATGAACTAAACACCATTTTGACTCTCCTATAGGAAAAGTAAATAGTTTTGAGAATTTAATTGTAGCCTCTGACTTTGCCTAGTTTTTGTAATCTGGTTAAGATATAATGTCTAGCCAGGGCAAGTATGGGTAGATATGTACCACTCTATAGGATTGGGAAGAAGGAAGCATGTTGAGGCTCTGCCTCTGAATGCCCTGTTTTCTGCATATGCCTAGAAGATTTTTTTTTCTGTTGGCTGTGGGGCTTGAACTCAGGGCCTGGCCACTGACCCTGAGCCTCTTTGTGCTCAAGGCTAGCTTACTACCACTTAAGCTATAGCACCACTTCTGGCTTTTTCTGAGTAGTTTATTGGAGATAAGAGTCTCCTCGAGACTACTGCCTGGGCTGGATTCAAACTAAGATCCTCAGGTCTCAGCCTCCCTAGTAGGTAGGATTATAGGTATGAGCCACCAGTGCCCAGCTGATTTTTTTTTAAACATGCTATACCAAGGCTTGAACTCAAGACCTGGGTGCTGTCCCTTAGCTTTTTTTTTTTTTCTGCCTAAGGCAGGTGCTCTATCCTTTGAGCCACATATCCACTTCTGAGATTTTGATGATTAATTAGAGATAAGAGTCTCACAAACTCTCCTTCCTAGGCTGACTTTGAACTGGATCCTCAGATGCCAGCCTTCAGAGTAGCTGTGATTATAGGTGTGAGCCAGACTTACCTAGGAAGATGGTGGACAACATTAAAGTACGTTTGAAGCTGGGCACAAGTGGCTCTAGCCACTAGCTACTCTGGAGGCTACTCTTGGATTAGAGCATCCAAGTTTGATGCCAGCCTGGGCAGGAAAATCCATGACTCATCTCCAGTCAACTCCAGAAAACTGGAGGTGGTACTGTGGCTCCAAGTGGGTAGAGTACTAGTCTTGACAGTACCCAGTCCCTGAGTTCAAGCCCTGTAACTGACAAAAAAAAGTAGGTTTGAGTCCTGTGTCTAGGAAGAACATGACAGACAGGCTGGTTCTATTACTCTCTGGCTAGGAACTTGACTATGTTCTGTACTTCTCTGAATCTTCTTCATCTATAATGTGAGTCTATTATTTCCCACCAGTGGGTTGTTCTGAAGATCAAACAAAATAATACATAGGATGCATTTAACATAGAACTTGTCCTATAAATGCCCATAAACTAGGCCCCTTTCCTTTGATCCTAAGGCAATATGCTTGATCTTTGAAATGCTGTCTGTGAATAATATCCTTTTCATTGTAACTAACTTGCTCATGGTACTTCCTCTAACTGGCACCTTCTTGTCTCTTACATACTTTTTCCAAAGCATACCTGGCCAAGAGATTGATGACTCAAAATCAGGAAGGAAATGCATTGTTTTCAGCTCTATAAAAGCTAGGAGCAGGGCAGATTGGTTCATGGAGCAAAGAAGTATAGTATCTATTTCGTAAGCCAAGTGCTGGTGATTCACACTTGTAATCCTACCTACTCAGGAGACTGAGATATGAGGATTACAGTTCGAAGCCAGCCCAGGCAGAAAAATCTGTGTGAGATTTTTTTTCGGTCGGTTGTGGAGTTTGAACTCAGGGACTAGGCATTGTTCCTGAGTTCTGTTTCTCAAGACTAGCACTCTACTACTTTGAGTTTTTGAGTGGTTAATTGGAGATAAGGTTCTCACAGGGACTTTTCTCCATGGGCTGGTTTGAACTATGATTCTCAGATCTCAGCCTTCTGGGTGCTAGGATTACAGGTGTGAGCCACCAGCGCCCAGCTCTGTGATACTCTTATTTCCAATTAGCCAGTAAAAAGCTAGAATTGGAGCTGTGGCGCAAGTGGTAGAGCCCTGAGTGGAGAAAATAGTGAGTGCACAGTCCCTGAGTTCAAGTCTTAGTACTGGCACACACACATGCACACGTGTGTGCATATATGCACATGTATACACACACAAAGAATCTATTTCATGTGGAACTGATGGCAGGATTTTTTATGTTCTATGCCACTTATTCTTCTGGGGTAAATGGCACTAAAGCTAGATTTCCCTCCTTGTCCTATTGCCCAAAATTTTCAGGAATGAAGGTTGGGGGCATGACTTGGGTGGTAGAGCATCTGCCTAGCAAGCCAAGAGTGCTTGAGTTCAAACTTGAGAGTTTCCATAAAAGGAAAAAAAAAAAGGATCTTCTAGAAGAGAGAATAGTTACAAAGAAGACAGAGTCTTGGACAGGGAGGTGCTTAGCATTGTGATCTGAGGCAACTTAACTCTCAGAATTTTGGTTTCCTCACCTGTCAGAGATTCCCAGGCTTTTGTGGAGGAAGCTCTTCATGTACTGCGAAGGTTGTTCAAATGGAAAACAGTTAGGAAAGTGGCCCTACTGCACATTATTCTTTAGTGCCCCAGTAGGAGTGGCCCAGGATCGCATGGTTTGAACCTGGATTAAAGCTCAAATCTCCCTGCTGTACACAGTACCCTTTCATTGATGCCTTTCTCTTGAGATTCCCCCCTAATTGTTCTGCTCATACTTGGCTGAGAATTTGATGGAGAGGAGGAAGCAGAAGGGCATCACTCTGCTCAGCTCTGTGACAGTCATGGAGCAGGGTAGATTGGACTGTGGGTAGGAAGGCATTGCTGACAGTAGGGGAAGATATCATTTTCTCCTCCTTGAAGAGGGAAACCATCGCATTATCAGGTGTTGAGCCAGCCCTCTCTGCCCTTCAGGCTGTGCTTCAGTCATTTCCCTTCTCTAGACTCCTACCTCCTCCCTTAGAAAAAGGATCTGGGCTAGCATACCACAGTAACATCTCTGTTGTTGGAGGATCAAATGATGTTTGCAACATGAAAAGTATAACAAGTCATGTAAAGAGAAGGCATTTTTATTCTTGGAAGGCAGGGCCAGGAGTCAGCAGGAGTCACTTGAGCTGAGGAGCACCCGCTGAACCAGACAGGTTGGCTTTCTCTTACTTCCCTGGGAAGCACAGGTCACAGGTTGGTGTGTGTGTGTGTGTGTGTGTGTGTGTGTGTGTGTGTGTGTGTGTGTGTGTGTGTGTGTGTGTGTGTGTGTGTGTGTGTGTGTGTGTTGGAGGTTGGGGGTTGGGGGTTGGGGATTGGTGTGTGTGTGTGTTTGCCTTGGTGCAGTGAAGTATATGACAGCCCACACCTGGGAAGGCCCCTTGGAGAATACACATGTAAGTGATCTCTAAGTTTGTACTAAACACACCTGGCAGAGGTAGCTGGGAAGATCCCAGAGGGGATGTCCTTGGCTGACATGTCAAGAGATGTACAAGCCTGTGTTTGTTTACTACTGCCAGTAGGGAGGCCCACTCCTAGAGAGGCTGCCATCCATCCTGAGGCCTCCACAGAGCATAGGACTGGGCTGGACTTGGACTCTGTTGAGCATGGAAAAGTCCAGACTGGAAGTGGGCACAACTGGATTGGAATCCAACTCAGGCACAGTTATATAGTTTTGGAAAATCAGTTTGAGGCTCAGCTTTCTCTCCAAAGTGGGGATCAAAATGCCTGTTTCTGAGCTGATAAATGATTATGTACTTGATGTACAGTAGGTATTCCCCAAATGATAGCTGAGGTTTTTATGCATTCATAAGTCACAGAACTAAAGCTTGTTCAAGAAACACTTAATAATCATGTTTTCCAATCCTTACATTTTACACATGGGAAAACTCAGGCTTCTACGGGTGGAGGGCCTTGTCCAAAGGTACAATGTGTGTCAGCCCAGACCCAGATGGGAGCCTGGGCTTTGTGGCTCATTCCTTCTGAACAGGCTTCCTCCAGTAACCTGGAAAAGCTGAAGCATAGGTCTCTCTGACTCATTGATCCCAGAGAAAACTGAGGGAGCCCTGGGTAGTGTGGACACTGTGGCCTCTGTTCATACCACCTCCTTTGGAGTTCTGCTCTTCCTCTGCCCCAGAGAATCACTGCCAGGAAGGATTTATGGAGTAGTGACTGGTAGGATTGCTCTGGGAATGTGACAAATGGGAGGACTGCACAAAAAGGCATCCGCAAGAAAGTTAAACAAAAAGATTATTGAGTTAGAAATATGCTAGAAAGCCCCAGCATGTCGTGTTGGTGCCCCCTTCTGGTTGAAAGCAAGCAGAGCTGGTAAAAAATGTTTCTTGGTTTCTTGGCTTTTCACTTTCCTGAAATATTAATGCCAAGGGAAGTCAGGAGCATTCAGTGGTCTTGGATATAGTAACAGACTCACCGTTCTTTCGAAGAACCAGTGTTCAAGGCTAGTGAGATTGTGTGTTTTCCTGGCCAATGTTAGGATTGATTCTCAGGACTCAAGGCAGAAAGGAAGATCCTCCTTGTTATCTTCCTTTCCACTTCCTTCTGACTTTTGACAGTTTAATTGTAGATGTTGAGCAGAGGCACTTATCAAACCTTTCATTTCCAAACTAAAGAATTAAGAGATGAAGCTCTTTTTAAGATCTTTGAGCCAACTAGCTAGTTTAGCAGGTGTCTGTCATAGCTCAGCTTGCTAAGAACTAATAGTTTATATAGTGTGCCAGGTCCTGTAAGAGATCCTACTGACACAAAGACAGAGGTGGAGACCATCTCTGTGCTAGTGCTGGGGCTTTAACTCAGGGCCTGGTGCTGAAAATCCTTTTCACTGAAAGCTGGTGCTCTACTACTTGAGCCATAGCTCCACTTTCATAGAGACAAGCCTGTGTGTAATGTAGTAATTACAGTATGCCTTTTGGAGTCAGATGGACCTAGTTTGGAGTCCTGGTTCTACCACTCATATATCATATGTCCTGGATCCAAGAGACTTGAGTTTCTCAAAGTATCTGTTTGCTCATCTGTCAAATGAAAATAATTGTAACAACATCAGGGTTGTTAGGAAGATTTAAGTCATATAACATAGTAAGTGCTCAATAAGTGGTAGCTAAGTTTAAGGTTACTCACAGGTGTTGGTGGCTTATGTCTGTAATCTCAGGAGGCTGAGATTTAAGGATCATGGTGTGAAGTCATACCAGGCAGGAAAGTCCATGAGACTCTTTCTCCCATTAATCACCAAAAAGCCAACAGTGGAGAGCTGTGGCTCAAAGTGGTAGAGTGTTAGCCTTGAGCACAAAAACCTCAGGGACAGTGCCCAGGCCCTGAGTTCAAGCCCCAGGACTTGCAATGCCACCCCCACCCCCCAAAAAAAAGATTACTCACAGATTGAGTTAACAAGGCAGACATAGACAGAGATGACTGCAGTTCAGCATGATGCCAACCATGGTAGCAGGAGGCAGGGACCATGAGAGCCCAGAAATACTGTTATTATTGAGCCTAGAAGGACCCTCAACTAGCTTGTTGCTTTCTGACACTCTCATTGGTCTCTCTTTCTACAGGCATACTTTTTTGATGCACCAGAGATGGACCATCTCCCCACAACTATAGCTACTCCAAACCAAACAGCTGCAGCAGCCAAGTCCAGCTAAGGAGAAAAGTAAGAGATAATATTTTTATTCTGTGGAGTGGTATGCTAAAAATCAAAACAAAACATGGCAGGAAAGTCCATGAGACTCTCATCTTCAATTAACCACCCAAAAGCTGGAAGTGGAGCTGTGGCTCAGGTGGTAGAGTACCCAGGTCCTGAGTTCAAGCTCCAGGACCAAACACATGCACACGTGTGCATGTGCATGTGCACACATACACATGCACATACAAAACCAGACCATTCTTTGTGTACAATTTTGTAGTAGGATATGAGTGTGCATGTTTAGGACTGTGTATGTATCCTTGTTGAAAGTTTCCATTTGAAATCTATCTCTTAGATTCTGCTGAAGGTGGATCTCTGCGTTCATCCCAGCAGCCCCCTCCTAAACCTCATGTACCCTTTCTAGCAGCACAGTATGGATTTGTTCCATCACATAACAGTTCTGGTAGTCTTTCTGACCTCTTAGGCAGGCTGCTTCAGAGCCTGAGTTGACCCCTGTTAGTTTACTCCTAAAGTTCTCCAAAGGCTATATATGTTCAGGGCCGCTGAGGTGATTCTACCATTAATGGTTAGTTCAGTGGGAGTTAGTACAGGAAAAAGATGTAATTTAATGGCTCCTTCCTTGCTTCTATCCCATTCCCATTCTGTTTCAAGGCTGCAGTCATACTGAACTTTTTGGTTTTCTGTCCTGTGCTTGGCACCTAGCCCAGAGCCTTGTATATACCACATGAGTACTTTAACACTGAGCTGTGCCTCCAGCCCCACACTGAACTTTTATCATTGCTTTAACATATCATGTCTGCACTTGCAGTTCCATTTGTCTGAAGTGTTTCTTTCTTCCAGACCTTCTTCCAACAGTTGTCACTTAGCTTGTGATACCAGTATACTTTGTATGATAGGTATCACTTTCTTATGGTGCTCAAAACACTAATTGTCTGTGTGTCCATGTGCTGATAACCTGATCAGTCATCCAGTCATTTGTTTGTACTCTCTGCACTAGTGTGTCCCCTCAATTAGAATCAGCTCCATGAAAACAAGGATAGGATTTCATTGCCCATTTCATGACCTGGTATATAGGTGGACTCAGTGAGTGTTTGTGGAATGAATGAATTAATGAATGAAGACATACTATCCATATGATCTTACTGTGTGTCAACCAAGAACTGTTACTCAGTTTTATAATCATTAGCAGCCCTTTCTGTGCAAGCTGCAGTCTACCAGAGCAATGGAATATGAAAAAAATCAGGGTCTTCATTATCAAGAATTAAAATTAAATCTCAGCTAGGCACCACTGGTTTGCCCTTATAATCCTACCTAATCAGAAGGCTGAGATCCAGAGGATTACAGTTTAAAGCCAGCCCAGGCAGAAAAATACGTAAGACTTCTTCTGGAAAATACTAGCAAAAAGCAGGACTAGAGATGTGGCTCAAGTGATAGAGTACCAGCTGAATAAGCAAGTTGAGTCGTCATAAGACACTGAGTTCAAATTCCAATACCAATCCCCTCCTTCCTCAAATTAAATCCCATTTCTGCCCTGTACTTGCTGTGGGCCTTGGGCAAGGAACTAATTCTTTTTGAACCTCAGTTAACTTCTCTATAAAATATGGATGAACAACCTATATTTGAAGATTAGATGTTATATTTGTAGAAGCTCCTGACACCCATAGTGAAACTCCTTGGTACAATTAATACACACTAAGAAAAAAAAATTCCTGTCACATAGGTGCACAGTAATAAGACCAAAGCTATTTCCCCACTGAAAGTGGGCTGATAGTTTGTATTGAAATTTGGTGCTTCTCACTGACTTTACCTTGATCCATTATTTATTTTTTGTAACAAATGAGGATTTTTCCCTCTCAGTTGAAGAAATCAAGTGTAGGCCCTGCAAGTTGACAGGATGTAGTGACCCGGTGTTGAAGTCACTTTGGCTGATAGAATCACTAGGAATCATCTGTAAGGTGTTACAGGCCTTCCACCACCTTCCTCTCTTCCTCTCTTCTTGGGGGTATGTGATACTGGAATCAAAGAAGATCACAATCCTATGTGTGAAACAGAACAATGATGCCTACTGAAATTGTCCTAAGAAAGGAGAAGAAATTAAGGGAAAGTGACATTGGGGTGAGATTGGTTGAAATGCATTGTATACATGTGAAAAATGTCAATGTAAGTCTCTTCCTATACAGCGTCTATATGCTTATTTAGGAGGAAAAATTTCCTTCCTCATTTTACATTGAAAAAGCTAAAGCCAAGTTAACCCAGTGCACTTGGCTGGCAAGCTAACATTTGTACATCGCATTCCATCTTACAAAATACTTTCTAGGTCCCTCTCTTATTGGCCATGCTTACCAGTACTTTCCACCTTGTTGCATAAGTGAAGAGGCTGGAATGAATATGGCTGACTTGTCTAAGGTCACCCATTGCTTAGAGGCAGAGAATAAGTCTTGGGGATCCAGTTTCTCTTTCTAATTTTTCCCCCATTTTTGACTCTTTGCCATAAGCACAAACCAGTAATATGTGCATGTTTTAAGTATTTACATTACTACTATCAATCTATACATTGTTAATAATCCCAGTGGGAACCTGAGGAAATTAAAGCTTAATACTCCCCCTTTTTTTTTTACTCATGTATGTATGTATTTATTTATTTATTTATTGTAAAGATACTATACAGAGGGTTACAGTTACATGAATGAGGTAATGAGAACACTTCCTCTTGAACATTGTTACCCCCTCCATTGTTTTCCCTCTACCATCCCTTCCCTCCCTACCTTCCCCAATGTTCTTTTTTTTTTTTTGATTGTGATTAAGTGATTACATAATTTCCGGAATTTCACAGTATTGTGGAATAATGATGCTCATTTAAAGTCACAAGTTCATAATACCCCCTTTTTTAATGAAAAAGAAATAGAAGTTTTAATGTTTCTTTTTTTTGGGGGGGTGCTCCGGTGGTGGGGCCTGAACTCTGGGCCTGGGCACTGTCCCTCAGCTTTTCAGCTCAAGGTTAGTGTTTTATCGCTTCAGCCAACAGCACCACTTCCAGCTTTTTTTGGGGGGGGTGGGGTCTGGTCATGGGGCCTGAACTTTGGCCTGGGTGCTGTCCCTCAGATCTTCGGCTCAAGGCTAGCGCGCTACCACTTAAGCCATAGCACCACTTCTGGCTTTTTTTTTTCTTCTGCTTATGTGGTGCTGAGGAATCGAACCCAGGGCCTCATGCATGCAAGGCAAGCTCTCTACCATTGAGCCACCTTCCCAGCCCTCCAGCTTTTTTTTTTCTGCTTATGTGTTACTGAGGAATCGAACCCAGGGCCTCATGCATGCAAGGCAAACGCTCTACCACTGAGCTACCTTCCCAGCCCGAAGTTCTAATATTTCTAATAGTAGTTTGGGTGTCTCTAATCTTAGAATGAACATGTGGTGGCTTCTTTGTGCCTCAGTTTGTCTGCACACTTATACAGCTCATCCTGCAGATGACCTCACTGAATGTTGACAGAGAGGTCCAGACAGAGGAGGTACCCTTCCTTAGTATAAAAATCATGAAGAAGGAACAGTCTTTCCCTCCCTGCCTCCCTCCCTCCCTCCCTGCCTCTGCCCCTCCCCCTCTCCCCCTCTACCTTTCTGTCTTCCTCTCCTCCCTCTCCCCCCTTCCCCCTCCCTCTCTCCCCTCTAAGACAGGGTCTTATTATGTAGCCAGGCTAGCCTCAAACTCATTATCTTCCTTCCTTAGCCTCTGAAGCGCTGGGATTACAGATATATGGCTCCACACCTGGATGAGATAGTCTTATTTAATTTAGCCCAGTTTCCACTGACCTGGACAGCAGAAGTGTCCAGTTAATATTGGGAAAGTGAGGTTGGGAAGGTGGCTTAGTGGTAGAGTGCTTGCCTAGCATGCATGAAGCCCTGGGTTTGATTCCTCAGTACCACATACACAGAAAAAGCCAGAAGCGGTGCTGTGACTCAAGTGGTAGAGTGCTAGTCTTAAGCCAAAGAAACTCAGGAACAGTGCCCAGGCCCTGAATTCAAGCCCCAGGACTGGCAATATATGTATATAGAAGGTGGAAGGTAGATGAACCTTTGAGAACTAAGTGCATGAATGAGGATGAGGGTTTTTTTTTCATTTCAATAAATATTATTTTATATGATTAGAGGCATTGCACTTTTTTTTTTTTTTTGGGTCCGGTCGTGGGGCCTGAACTCTGGGCCTGGGCGCTGTTCCTCAGCTCTTCAGCTCAAGACTAGCACTCTACCACTTGAGCCATAGCACCACTTCCGGCTTTTGTCTTTTTACTTATGTGGTGCTGGGGAATCGAACCCAGGGCCTCAGGCATGCAAGGCAAGCGCTCTACCACTGAGCCACCTTCCCAGCCCGAGGCATTGCACATTTAAGATGCAGCATTTCATGCTGAGCGTAGGCCATCATTTACTCTTCTCTGCACTTATTGAGGCTACTTTGTAGCCTCTTTGAGCCGAGTCTTGGGGACTCAGGAAATAAGATATAGTCTCTGCTTCAAGGATCCTGTCTGAAAAAAAAAAGTAAAGGGCTGGGAAGGTGGCTCAGTGGTAGAGCGCTTGCCTTGCATGCATGAGGCCCTGGGTTTGATTCCTCAGCACCACATAAGCAAAAAGAAAAAAGCCGGAAGTGGCGCTGTGGCTCAAGTGGTAGAGCGCTAGCCTTGAGCTGAAGAGCTAAGGGACAGCGCCCAGGCCCAGAGTTCAGGCCCCCGGACCGCCCCCCCCCCCCCAAAAAAAAAGGATTCTGTCTGATGTGCAGAACAGCCCAACAGGTAGTGCTATGTTGTATGGGAAGTTCCTCGAGCAGGATGTCAATTGAGCCCTGTGGAGGCAGAGAAAGAATGACACATTGGTTTTGAGCAGAGTCTTGCTTAAATTAGGTCCTGAAGGTTGAGTACAGCAGTCAGTTACCCTTCATTCTGAAAAACAGTCTACTTTTATGGCTTTGGGGAAGGGAAGATATAGGCATGATTAAACCATGGACATGATCAATCATAAGA